GTGCTAGTTGGACATATTTTATGTGGAAATTGTGAAATACAGAGGGTAATTTTGAAACATAAAATGTTATTGCAGCAATATAGTTTACAGTTGCCGCAGTGCACGTCCAATTGAGCCACTAATATGTTTTTGCTTTTAATGTGAAAATTATTGCGCATTCTGTTATGGAGAAATATTGTGCAATTACAATTTCAAGCCTTCCAACGCTGCACATGTGGAGTTGATTTCACAGGAGGACTACAGTTAGATATATTGCAGGCATTTAAACGCAGGGGGAAAAAATATACTTATGCACATAAATATGAATAATGCCGACCTAGTAACGTGACCAATCAATTAGTGAACAAGCTTGAGTGCAGCTCTGCAGACACTGTTTGCACTCTCCTACTGCTCAGATTGTTATGTGTTAAACGTAAAACCGTAGTGCAGTTACAGAGGTTCAGGTGGCCGTGTTGTCTGAGCAGAGTTGTAACAGCCTGGTCAAATATTGATGAAGTTCAGGCCCAAACACAGTGTTTTACAGCGCAGGCCAAACCGCAGACTGACACGTTCAGAGGAGCTCTGTCTCTGTGAGTGGATTTCATGTGGCTTAGGGTTTTAGTTATGTTTCTGTACAAATGTCAGGTGGCTTTTACACAAACTTTTGAAATGGTGCTGCCAATAGAAAAATTTGGGGTGTTTCTATCCCAAGGGTGGAAATAAATTGACTTCCAGAGTTGTAAAAGTAACTATAGCAGACAAATGGTCTTGATCAGGGTATTGATCAGAGCTGTAAAGCTAAAGCTATTTCATGCATACATTTGAAGACAAAATGCAAATTATGATTTATTTTGAATTATAGAATGTGTCCACGGTGCACACAGGTTCTGGAGGGCTTTAAGAATATTCAAAGCCAAGTTTGGTTTATTTTACGAGGCAAGTCGTATAACATTTACAGAATCAGAATTACTTTTATTGGTCAGGTATGTGTACACATACACGAAATCTGACTCTGGTATTATATTGTACAATTACCACATAAATTATTTATCATCAATGTGTTAATTACACTTTAAATGAAAAAAACAGAATTTATGTACATGTATTTTTGTTTCTATAGGCCAAATTTCCACATTCACAGTAACACTCTCCAACTGGGTGGCATTATTAGGCCATAATCAGACCACATTATGCATTTATAATGCAGGGTGTGGGTATGCAAGGGTGTGGGGGTATTTATTTGTGTTTCAGAATATTGTTTTATTTCACTGATTCACCAGCTTTCTTGCTATAGTTGCTCTCTCTACTCATTCTCTCTATGAGTCGCTGGACCACCACAGTCTCTCTCTTTCTCTCTCTCAAACAAATGGACACAAACAATAGGAAGCTTCTTGGTATCTCTATCTTGCAGCATGGACTGCAGGCAGACACTCAGTTACACAAAATAAACCAAGTATCATGGTCCCTGAACTCCACCTAGATAGTGCCTGGGTTCAGCAATATTGACCGTGGAGCAGTTGGACCAATCTGGTCACTCGATTAGTGTTTACATACATTACACTGGGTCGCATTTCTCCAAAAGTTGATTCTGTATCAACTTTTTTGCTGCTGCGTTTTTTTCTGTGGCCCCCAGAGCTGCAGCCTAAATGAATTACCGCCACTCAAAGGAATGGGAGGACTGATATTTCTGCGGTAGGCGCTGACTTGGTCTGAATGCAGCAAGATATGCATAAGTACTGAGTAAAAGGCAGCTGGATTTGTTGATGTTGTCACATCTATTATCATCACCATCATTTTGTATTTTTACTCCTTATGCAAAGCATCTTGAGTTACCTTTGTGTTTGACAGGTGCCATACAGTAGGTCTGACAGGTGCTTAATAGCTACAGTGTTTGGCTGAAGCAAGAAGGGTCAAACACACTTTTGGCAACATCTATTGTCTTTCATATTCTCTCTAAAAACTTAACATGAGGCTGTTTGAAAATTCAAGGTTAACTTGGCTTTCCTTGAGCGTCTTGACTGGTTTGAGAGATAACTGCTGGAGACCCCCCCCCAAACACACACACACAGGCGCTGTCCTGCTAAACTGCTTCCTTACCCCTCTGAATGGGAGCAAAACTAGCTTCTTTATAATCCCTCTTTCTGTTTTTTTATTCCTCCTCCTTCTCTCATCATGTTTTTTTTCCCTACTTGCTTATTTGAATTTTAATGAGCTTTTCACCTTTTTAAGCAGATGGCTTAGGTTGGATTTCTCCATGAAAGTCAGGGTGAGTCTCTCACGTGTCACGTTTTGCACAATTTGTTTCAACTAGCCGAGTCCTTTCGGGGGTTTAGGGCTTTGAGTGGGTAATGTGCCTGTCTCACCCCTCTTTCTCTTCACTTCCTCCCTCTGTTGTCCTCTTGCTCTAATAAAATGAACATCTCTCACTCTCTTACTGAAGAGAATGGGCTAAGTCTCAACAGGATACCTCCACAAAAGCTTAAAAGGTAAATTTGAGCATATGCGGTTTTATATGTGTTAAAAAAACGTCAAATGCGTTTAGGGTGATGGAAAAGCTGCAGATTTGGTACTGTTTAGAACATCTCACCATACCTGCTTTTGTTATTGCCTTCTGTCTTAAATTGAACCAATGGATCTGGGCTCTAATTTCAAGAAAACTGTTCTGCATCCAGAACAGTGGGATCTGCATTT